CAATGGGAACCAAACGACTGTTTCAGATGCAGCTTCAAATGTCTTTAAACGACATCAGACGATGAATAAGGGTCTTATCATGCGAAACGATCCGTTATTTCAAAGTTTATTCCAAAAATGTAACTTTTCTAAGGACAAATGCTAGACTTGCTCTATTCTGTGAGGCGCGTTTGTAACGTCACGTAATACGTAATTACGTTCAAAAGGTCACGGGCGACGTAGCCGGAAGTACAGAGTCAGTGTTTACAAGTTGAACGCATAGGTTGAACGTGCAAACTAACTCAAACACCGTTTACAAAAAAAGGAATTAAAAGGAAAAACAACAATGTCGGACGATTTTGATTCTGTACTTCCGGCTACGTCGCCCGTGACCTTTTGAACGTAATTACGCATTACGTGACGTTACAAACGCGCCTCACAGAATAGAGCAAGGCTAGCATTTGTCCTCAGAAAAGTTACATTTTTGGAATAAACTTTGAAATAACGGATCGTTTCGCATGATAAGACCCTTATTCATCGTCTGATGTCGTTTAAAGACATTTGAAGCTGCATCTGAAACTGTTATTAACTGTCTTTTGGACCTTGAACCATCCGGTTCCCATTGAAGTCCATTATATGAAGAAAAATCCTGGAATGTTTTCATCAAAAACCTTAATTTCTTTTCGACTGAAGAAAGAAAGACATCTTGGATGACACGGGGGTGAGTAAATTATCAGCAAAAGTTTTTTTAAAAGTGAACTACTCCTTTAAACATGCCCTGACTCTCTCCATGACCTCTCTATGATCCGGATGTGTGTGTGTGTGTGTGTGTGTGGGCAGATTCTCCGTCGGGCCTGTCGAAGGAGATCACACACGCGCTGTCGGGCGTCCCGGGCTTCGAGATGGACCCGTTCTGCTCAGACGACCCGCTGGCGCTGGAGGGTCTGGGCATGCTGACGGACGGGGACCTGATGCTGGCCGACCCGGCGGTGGAGGACTCCTTCAGATCCGACCACCTCAAGTGACCCGCGGTCATGTGACGCCTCGGGCCGGCGGGTTCCTGACTCGTGCACGTGCGCTTAAAACTGTGAGCTTCTGCCCTTTAACTCTCTGCACTTCTCGGACGATCAAACCCTGTTACAGACATCACCGTCGACCAATCACAGCGGGTTTACACGTGCCTCCGCTCAATGTCCCAGCATGCACTGGACCACACCAGGTCAATGCAGGATTCACACATGCACTTACCGCTGAAGTTCATCAGTTCCTGAAGAGTGAAGCACTCAGCCAATCATGAGTCAGGGGGCGGGACTATCTGACGGACTGACCAATGAGGGACGAGGGGAGTGGCGTGTTCAGAACAGCATACTGTCATACTGCAGATGTATCCCACAATGCATTGTGCTCGACAGTGCTGCGAGTAACAGATTACATGGAATCAGATTCCAAAGATGAAGAGCTTGTAATTAGATTACATTACGTTTTTTATCTTTCTAAAAAAATATATTGTTTAAATGTGTTCAGAATTTTTTTTTGGAATTGCAGATTGGCGTTTGAAAATTAAGAAATTATATTTCTATTAAAAATAAGAAATTGGGACTACTGGAGAACTGAGATATTCTATGTATATTCTATATTCTATCTATATTATGAAACATCAGATGTTCATGTTTTATTGTTTTATTGGCGTAATGTTTGCAAACTAATATTGAGTTGTTTGCACAGATCAGTATGCAGTATTCCCTTCTGAACACAGCCACTGTCTCACACACACACACACACACACGCACACACACACACACACACACACACACACACACACGTCAGGTTTACTGTCTTTATGGAGACTCCATAGACGTAATGGTTTTTTTACTGTACAAACTGTATGTTCTGTCCCCTTACACTAACCTGACCCAACACACACACTCACACACACACACACACACACACACACACACACTCGTCACCTGGAACACATGATATCAGATGTTGTTTCTCTGGTCAGCAGTTCTGGGCTTTTCTCCTTGTGCTTGATGATCTTCGGTCACTGACATACACACACACACACACACACACACACACACACACACACACACACTCCGGTCAGCAGTTCTGGGGTTTTCTCCTCCTGTTTGATGATCGATGAACACACTCACGCTCTCACATGTGCTGAACAACTGAAGAGGAAAAGACCAAATCTGTGTGTGTGTGTGTGTGTGTGTGTGTTCAGGTGTACTGCTCATGTGTGTGTGTGTGTGTGTGTGTGTGTGTGTGTGTGTGTTCAGGTGTACTGCTCGTCTGTGTGTGTGTGTGTGTGTGTGTGTGTGTGTGTGTGTTCTGCCTGTATTTGCACGATGATTCTCTTAAGCAAGGCCATATCCAGAGGAACACGTATTTTTTGTAATTAAATCTGCGTACTATGAGATTTATTTTTAAATAAAGTTGCTCTAGGTAAGATAACGAGTATATTGATAAATGTGTTTGTATATGGATAAACAAGTGTGTGTGTGTTCAGCAGAAGTCTCGATGCTGTGTTTCAGGGAGAGTGTGTTGAGTGGTGAAGTGTGTGTGATCTGGGCTTCAATTTACAGTATTGGTTGATGTTCGTTGATGTTAGTTGACAGTGCAGTAACTGATGTCCACACACACACACACACACACACACACACAAACGAAGATAACGATAATGAAGATAACGTATCAGTGAATTTTGAAATTAATATTATCACAGATTATTAGATGAGGAAGTGTTGTCACTGATGAAGCTTATTGAAGTGTTACCGCTGTAATTCCTCGTGTGTGTGTGTGTGTGTGTGTGTGTGTGTGTGTGTGTGTTCTGATGCTCTTCTTCTCTCCCGCTGTGTTGTGTTTTGTGTAAGTGTGTTTTGTGCGAGTGTGTGTGTGTGTGTGTGTTTGCTGATGCCGGTTCGGGTGTGTCTCAGCGCAGGACGCTGCTGGTCACACACAGTCACTGTGAGCTGTGCTATGTGTGTGTGTGTGTGTGTGTGTGTGTGTGTGTGTGTGTGTGTGTGTGTGTGTGTGTGTGTGTGTGTGTGTGTGTGTGTTGAACAGCTCAGGTCTGATACACACTACCAGGCAAACGTTTTGGATCGGTCAGATGTATTATGTTTTTAATGTTTTATGTTTTTTTTCTGTCCACCAATGCTGAGTTTATTTGATTAAACACGCAGTAAAAACAGTGAGATATTATTATTATTATTATCATGTAAATCAGATGTTCAGAGTCACATGACCCTTCAGAAATCACTCTAATATGAGGATCTGATGATCAAGAAACACTTATGATTATTATCAGTGTTGAACACAGTTATTTATATTTCAGGATTTTTTGATGATTATAAAGTTCATTAATCTGGAATAGATCTTCTGTGATGTTAAACTCTACTCTTCTAGAGTTTGGGGTCAGTAAGAATTCTTATTTTATTTTTGTGGGGAAAGAAATAAAATAAATCAATAATTTTATTCATCAAGGATGACAGTAAAAGACACTGAAGACTATTTCAGATTAATGCTGTTCAATTGAACTCTCTCTTCATCAAAGAATTCTGAAAAATAAATAGAAATAACAGTTTCTAACACTGATAATAATAATCATAAATGTGTCTTGATCATCAGATCCTCATATTAGAGTGATTTCTGAAGGGTCATGTGACACTGAAGACTGGAGTAATGATGCTGAAAATCACAGGAATAAATTACACTTTACTGTATATTCATATAGAAAACAGATGATTTACATTATAATAATATTTCAGTGTTTTACTGTATTCCTGGTCATATAAAGCAGAAGAGTCTGTTTAAAGCATCCCTCTGATCTGATCTCTCCTCGGTCCGGCTTCTGTCTGCGCGATTATGAACAGAAACAGAATATTTGCATTCTACTTGTACTTTTATTTTTATTTTTTGCAACTGTTGCTCTTAATTTCTTGTTGTTGTTTTGATAAGCAGGGAAACTGATGCTGTAAATAAGAAGCGCTTCTCACTGAACATTTCTAAGACTGTGTATCCTCACCGTATTTTACAGAAAATAAAGAATCTAAATGAAAATGTGTGTGTGACTCAGTGACATCATTTCATCCTTGGGGAAATAATGTATTCTTTCACCAAAATATCCATGATAATATCAGCATGATGAGGGACACACACACAATAATAATAACAACACGTTTTCCTCATCTTCACTAAAATAGTTTATTCATTATCAAACAACTCATAACGGGCTTGGTACTCGGATATTTATAAAATATTATTTTTTTTTTATAAAAAGATGGTCAATTACCTTTTTATGCTTTATTCTGTGTCGTAAACGAGCTTCCATAATTCACTTAAATATACAAGTACATGTTTAATTTCAGCCTCCAAAGTGCAAGTACTGAAAATATAATCCATTTTTGTTCAACTAATATAAATGAACAGGACATTTATCAGCAATTTATGACAATTAATCATGTTTAAAAGTCAGTGTATTCTCTGTAATCTAAGTAAGGAATAACCCTCTTTTTTAATCTCAGAACAAAATGAAAAGGTTTGATTTAGTAGCTGTCACTCAGGATTTATGGATATGAAATGTGTCCCACAAGCAGAATATTATAACAGCGCTGTTCGTATGTTAGTAGTGTCGAGTTCAGCGGCCATTTTTAGTGTGTAAAATTGTATGATGTAATGTCAGTCTATCTGTAGCTGACATACGAATTAATTTGTTAAAAACGACTGCGATTGCAGCGCTGAGAAAAGCAATGGGGGTCACGTGACATCGGCTATGCTTTACGCGCGTTCACGCGCAGTGAATGGAAAACAAAACAGCGCCAGTAGTTCGGACCAATCAGATGCTTCCCCGGTCGGTGACGAGTTGCTGTAATGCGTCTCCGCGCCGCTAGTCGTCAGTGCGCGCGCCGCTTCTGCAGCTGCTCGGTGTGTGTGTGTTTCTGTCGTCTATGGTTTCTGTACGAGATGGCGGAGCGCGGAGACGGACGATCCACGCAGTGACACTCGAACCCGAATCCGAACCGGTACCGACCGGCCCGAGGGACCGCTGAGAGAGTCAGTCGCTGTGAGCCGAAGCTTCAGGATGAGATGAGAGCCGCACTGCTGTCGCTGAGGTGAGTGAGTGTGTGTGTGTGTGTGTGTGTGTGTGTGTGTGTGTGTGTGTGTGTGTGTGTGTGTGTGTGTGTGTGTGACTGACAGTCCCGAACCCGACCGGACCTGACGCGGGTGTGTGACAGCAGCGCAGATCACTGTACTGCGGACGTTAATAACAACAACACAATAATAATGATGTATTGATGAAGATTCCTCACGAGATCAGGACAGGTGTGTGTGTGTGTGTGTGTGTGTGTGTGAGAGAGAGAGAGAGAGAGAGAGAGAGATTGTGTGTGAATGTGTGTCAAGTCAAGTCAAGTCACATTTATTTATATAGCGCTTTTCACAATACAGATTGAGCAAGGCGACAGTGGCAAGGAACCAAAACTCCATCAGATTGGATGGAGAAAAAACCTTGGGAGAACCCAGGCTCAGTCGGGGGCCAGTTCTCCTCTGGCTTACATTCGTATTGTTTATAAATATTAAATATAAATATTGTTTATGTATAAAACGGCGCCATAACATATCGCAGGCGTTGAGTCGTCTCTTCACAGGCGTTGAGTCGTCTCTTCACAGGCGTTGGGGCATCCGAAATCCCTGCGAGAGGCTGGATACAAAACTATGTGTGTGTGTGTGTGTGTGTGAGAGAGAGAGAGAGAGAGAGAGAGAGAGTGTGTGTGTGTGTTCATGTTATGTAGAACTGGCATGAAACATTTAGTCAGTTGTGTGTAAATCTCTAGTGTGTGTTGGATCTGGTCATTAGTTGTGACTGTCTGCTCAGTTTCAGCTGGTACAGCTCTCTCTCTCTCTCTCTCTCTCTCACACACACACACACACACACACACACACACACACACACACACACACAGAACCATGGCATCACTGGTGTGTTTTCTTCTCTGTTGTTACTGTGGTCAGAACTCTGGTACCACACATGAGTTCTGTTCTGACCCCTGACCCCTGACCTCAGCTCAGAGGAATTAAACACATTGGTACTGGAGAACAGCCAGAGGGCTCTCCGTCCGAGACACTGAGGAAGCTCTTCATGCTCTTCAGCCCACAGCCTCTGACGTCAGACAACAATAGCCACTTTATTAGAGAGAAAAAAACATTGTGTGTGTATTATATGGTAGTAAACATATATAAAGCGGCTAGTTTCCAATCCTGGATTCTGATTGGTCAATAGCTGTGCTGTATTCATGATAATACACAACTATGGCCGCTTCACCCAATGGCTCTATTGATCACTGCGCAACACTGCGGTTCCTATGTTGTGTTTATTTGAGCTTTCATGCTAATGGGCTATATGCACGCATAAGTTCCGCATTTGACGCAAGGATGCTCGTCCATTTCCGGTTGTGGAGATTAAAGCGGAGGAAAACGGGATTATGGCAGAGTCTTCAAAATTTACCGTCCTCCAGTCTTTGAAACGAAACGTTCATACTAGGGCTGCAACAACTAATCGATAAAATCGATTATAATCGATTATGAAAATCGTTGTCAACGAATGTCATTATCGATTAGTTGGTCTGATTACGTCACGGGGATTGTTTACATGGAACATGCGCTTCTTACATGCGCGCTTCATGAGGCGCACATGATGCAGTCTCTCTTCCTCGCCGCTCTACCCTGTCTCGCGCGCGCAACACGGACGGTTTGGAGCACATTATCTTCTGTCTCGCGCGCGCTCTTGATTCCGTGAGTTTGAACTAATTTGCGGGCATCAGGAAACCGCTATCAATATGCAGCATACACGAAAATCATTCACCTTTCGGTAAATTCGCCGTTTTGAAACCAAAATAGGTGACCTACGTTAATCGTGTATACTTTATGAAGCCATACTATAGTATAATGTGAGATAGAAATGTATATTTAAGTCATTCAATTCAAGTTAACCTAAGCTTTTCCCTCCACTGCGGCTGTCAGTCATTCTCTATTCGCGTCGCGTTACAACAGTTAACATGATGATCTCTTTCCAAGATGATTCAATGTTATTACAATAATTGATCAATAGATAAAGGTCTATGATGGTTTTTCTATCTGGCTAGACTTATTGCTGTAACTTAATCACTTTCTACTAGGGGTGGCACGGTTCACAAAACCCACGGTTCGGTTTGTATCACGGTTTTAGGGTCACGGTTTTCGGTTCTGTACGGTTCTTGTTATTTTTTCTTTTAATCTTTAACACTCCAGAAATGTACTTCAGCATGTGATATATAGCTTAATTAAAAAAATAATTAAGCTAAAAAATATATATATTATATTCATGCAATCATGCACAAACTGAATTTGACTCTTTGACTTTAAGCACATTTTGGGACTATCTCAGAGGAAAACTAGGTGAGATTTAGATACAGCAAGAGAGAAGAAATTGACATGCTTTTTGTTTATTTGGCAAAAAAAGGAGAATGTGTATCACTATCTTTACAAGAACTTGTGCATTTTTATCACATAAATCTTATTTACACAAAGAAATTAACTTTCATGTATCAACTGCTGACTTTTGTAGCTCTTACCAAAATTCTATCTTTTAAAAGAAAAAGAGAGGAACTCTTAAAACACTGTCTTTTAAATGTCAATATACATGAAACCTCATTGCCTATAGATAATTAAGCAATAGCAAAGGCCATAAACATAAAGTGAAATTTAAGTTCAACCTCAACACAAAAACAGTACTATCAACAATGCTTCTATTCCCAAAATGTGAGGGTACTTTTTTCCACTTAAAATTAAAGTGCATGGAAACGTATGACTGAAGCTCTTATCTATACATAAAGTGCCACTGTAGCGTTATATTAAAATATCATAACATGAAATCCAAAATGTTCCCACACACCGGACTTATACCATAGACTTATACGACGCTGGCGCATCCTCCAACTCCCTCATCTCTCCCACTTGCCATTTCTCCGCGTGCTGTGACCTGCAGCGCTCCATACTCCACTTTTACTGGCTTGTTTATTAACTTGAACCGGCGCTGCACAGAGCGATCGGTAATGACATCAAATACCGCGAAAGTGACGAATGCATACGGAGCCGACTCGCGCTAGATTTATGTTATTCGCCGGTCGCTCTGTGCAGCGCCGGTCCAAGTCGAACAAGTTTATGTCGCGCGAAAAGAAAACACATGTCACATACGGGCACGAGGTTACATTGCGCATGCGTCGAACCGTGAGACGCACACGCGCTCCGAACCGAGACAAGCGAACCGAACGGTTCGGGTGTTTTTTCATGTACCGTGCCACCCCTACTTTCTACTGATTGTCTGTTAGATCAGTAGACTCGGCGCAGTATAATTGTTCTTCACGTGCACAGTAGCCTAACTGAAATTTAAAACTGTTAAGAGAAAAGGCTTAATAAACTATTGCATAGATACTGTATAATACAAAGTCTTGGTGCTTTTAACTTTAATGCGGCGGACACTGAAGAGCTGCGCGCCGCCCTGTGACTCCGTGTTGCTTCAAACGCATCTTTCAGCGCTCGCGATGCGCATAAGCACTTTGTGCAGCTCTTTCATGATCATGTCATAATACTTTTGCGCAATGAAAGCTTATTAATAGCCTTTCTTGTTCTGTCCTATCTATTATATTTTGCTTCCTTACTAAACAGCTGTGCTTTACATTTAAAACAGCTGTGCATCTGATTTTTACGATGTTTTTCATGAATGTATAACAACAATACAAAGAGCAATGTGTAAGTTTTACCAGAGTGCTACACTTACCCTAGTTCATACGTTTAGATGTAATTTTATATATAGTTATGTTTATTTAATATGATTTTAAAAAGAAGCATAAACACAACGAGGGGTGTCTGTTTTATCTGTTTTTGTGACTAACGTTTCTTTAGTATAACCACGGAGTATAAATTCTCGATATTGCATTGGACTCTACGATCGGCGGAAGTTATCGAGCATCCCTAATCCTTCACCGGAAATACCGCCGTGGATAGAGCCCATACTCACTGGAGCGTTGTTGCTGTTCACAGTCAGGGACTATTTTTTTCTAGCGGAAAGAAGGCTTTTAGTCATTTTACTTCATGAAAGTTGCACTAACTTTTTTACTTTAATATTTTTATTGTGTGGTAACTAGGTTTGGGTATCGTTTGAATTTGAACGATTCTGATTCCGATTTCGATTCCGGTTCCTAACGATTCTCGATTCTGATTCTTTTAAGAGGCAGGGTCAAAAAAGTTTAGCTAACCTTGCTAACCAACGGCCTTTCTGAAGGAAATACTCCTTCTGTAAAAATACTCCTTTTGTCACAAATTTTGCATTTTGCCGAGATTTTCGTTATTTTTAGAAAAGTCAAGCCACACTTTGGACTGCCGACGTAAGCTACTCATGTTCGACTCGCGTGGTTATGCCAACACTTCCGGTAGACGCTTCTTCGTTGGTGTTGTTCAGCGGTTTCTTCTTCCGCTCGGCGGACTGTGAATATCAAAACTAGGAATTGCTATTTTAACTTTTGAACGATTCCGGGAAAAACGAAAAGTTAGTCTCGGTTCCAATCGATACTCGATTCTCGATACCCAACCCTAGTGGTAACCGTTTTGTAAAAGCAATAAAGTACTCGAGGCAAGTGCTGTATCGTGAGTAAGTGACGGCTGAAGGGGTTACTCCGCTCGTGTCGAGCCGAACAGAGCCGTCACTTACTCACGAGACAGCACAGCCTCTCGTACCTTATTGCTTAATTGTCTTCTGACGATTATGAAAAGCTCTTGTCATTTTTTACATATTATTTTATTTTGACTATGTAAATTATTATATTTTCAATTTAAACTATTCACAATTTAAAGGTACATTATGTAAGAATTTTGTATCAAAATATCCAAAAGCAGAGAATTTGTAAAACCAGAAAAGTTTTAACTAGTGCCCGTCCGTGTTCGCGCATCGCCCGCTAGTCACATAATATCTGCTGTAGCGAGGCTAGATGATGTGTGGAGGAGGAGGCGGGAACTGGCGAACATTAAAAACCTTTAATAAACGTAAAATAAAGAAGTACAAACTGAGAGTAAAGAGCATCGGCATCCCCTCCCGGACGACTGCCGCCACGGAGAACACGTGCAGGCCTCGGCCTCTCTCCTCCTTCACTGCCGTCGCTCCTCCGCGAGTGATACGAGAGCCGTGCGTCACGCATCAGCACTCACGCCACCGCCCTGCTTGCCACATCCGCGCTATCCCTGGTTCACGCTAGTACTCCCATAGTAACCATGGCGACAGACGTGTATAACTGCTTAACGCTCACGCATATTGTCAATATCAGCGTGGCGTTTTCAAGACCCCGAGAGCTTCGCGACTAACTTCGACTCGACAGAGACGCCGCTCTTGCATATAGCGTTACGTTATTAGACAGGAGAGCAACTGTATAAAACTAACCAAAGCTATACAGCTCAACATGATGACGATCCAGCGCACTGCTAATCTCATATAGCCAACAAACGAACACACAGAATAACATTATACCTTTCAAATGCAGTTTAGTGTGCTAGCGTAGCGTTAGATCGAGTGAAAGCGTTTCCTCACTAGCCTCATCCGTCTGATAAACTGAGCGCTTCAGCATTGTTTAATGAAACGTTCCTTTAAAACGCAAGGCGTTCTTTTCGTTTACTGCAGTTTCACACACTTCTGTGTTTGAAGACATTTATCACTAATTTACTTCCAGAACATCGAGTTAGAGTTCAATACATGCAGGATGTTTCCAGTGTCGGCGAGTGATGTTTAGCGTGATCTGAGCTGTGTATTAATAACACAGTGTGTGTGTGTGTGTGTGTGTTTGTGTGCAGATGAGCGGATCTGGGGCCGAGGGAAACTCTTGCGTTATGCAGCTCAGGCGTTAGAGGAAGTGGATGTTGAAAGTGCTTAGAAAGAGCTAAATGCAGCGCTGACAGGAAGCGCATCACTCCTGAAACAGGAAGTGGAGTTTTCTAGTGAAGCACCTGAGGTCGTGGGTCAGTCGGTGACCTGGTGTGTTCATCTTTCTGATGCTGTTTAGTTCAGGGTGAGTCTTCATGTGACACACGGCCTCAGATTGGGTTTGGAGTGACTCTCAATTTTGGCCAAAATCTGATTATGAAAAGCTAAGGACGCACTACTGAGAAACCTGAAGTGACCATTGGGACGCCATGCGGTCTCATGAACTTTGACCTCGCGGTCATAAGAGGAGTGTGAGTACACATGGGTCTAGATCAATGCTCTGTCGCGCTGCCGCAGTGTGTGTGTGTGTGTGTGTGTGTTCCTCTGTCCTGCGTCAGCGATCTGTTGATCTGTGGGTGGATTCACTGTTGTTGTACTTCAGTGTGTGTGTGTGTGTGTGTGTGTGTGTGTGTGTGTGTGTGTGTGTGTGTGTGTGTGTGTGTGTGTGTGAGAGTTGACCTGTGGATGGATGCTGCTGTACTTCAGTGTGTGTGTGTGTGTGTGTGTGTGTGTGTGTGTGTGTGTGTGTGTGTGAGAGTTGACCTGTGGATGGATGCTGCTGTACTTCAGTGTGTGTGTATTTATAACGTAAAATAAGACGATTAAAGACAAGACGGAGGCTCACTGACATACTTTAAAATATATTTCAGCATTTTGTTAATCGACAGCCTACCTGACTAAGTAACTTTAACCCAATCCGATCACGGCTCTCCCGATATTAGTCTATTTCCACAAGATTTATGGATCAGCTGTTTGATTTATAATTATTAGTATTATTTGCACATACCCTGCTGTCCTCGATTTGTGTGTTTCCCATGTGAATGCTCAGCATATGAGGCGCTGCTGCTTGCGCTATAGGCTTTAGCTTCAACTTTTAACAAATTATTCTCTAATCGGTTGCATATTAATATGTCGTGGATATATCCCTGGACTGGAATACTGCAGTCCCTTTTGTCTTGCTCTCTCAGATATTTCACATGTTCGCTAAAAATGACTAATTATCTGATTGGGAATGTCTGACACCGGTGCATACACACTGTAATAGATGTGTCAGCCGCGAAAGCTTGACAGGCATAGCAACAGTAACTAGGGAGGGCGGGGCTTAGCTAAGGGTCAATTATCAGTCTTATTAGTGAAGAAATTCATAAAGTCATCATTACTGCTGTGTTGCTTGCACACTTCTGGGCTTGAGGCTTTCTTTTTTGTTAGTTTAGCCACTTTTTCAAATAGATGCCTATGATTGTGTTTATTTTCTTCTAATAGGTTTGAAAAATAATAAGCAGATCTAACCGTTTTTAAAGCTGCACTGTGTGATTTTTACCTCCATCTAGTGGTGAAAAGATATATACCATCCAGTGTTCCTCTCAATTCCGATTTGGTTTTAACTCCTACGGTGGGCAATGTAGTCCAAGATTAACATGGCTTCCAGTTCGACCTCGTCCGTGAGTGTTAACTCAAACGTAAAAGCGAAAGGCGAAGCTTGAATTAACGAGTATGTCCCTCTTTGAAGATGGAGGGGCAACATGGCGACCGACATTAGTACCCCTTACTGTGTTTTCAATGGCATTTTATACACTCACGACAATACTTTATTACTTGAGCGAAATAAATATACATTAATGAGCACATATGTTTTTCAAAGAACTAAGTGGTTTTTAGCTAAGAATAAACTAAAAGAGTTCCACAGTGTAGCTTTAAGGCCTCTCTGTATGCGGTCGAGATCTCCTTCCATGAAATACCGAATACCTCTAGTTTAGTTTTCTTACAGCTATGCTCCATTTTTCTGGCTGCTCTCTCAAGGGCCTGAGTGTGTGTGTGTGTCTCAGTGTCTCAGTGTGTGTTTCTGCCGGAAACGTGTCTTCTGGTCTGATTTGTGAGCGCCTGTGGAGGAAGTGAACGAGCGATCTGATGTTTCCTCAGTTCCTGCACGTGTGGTCGTCGCTCACACACTCGTGTTCGTGGGTTTGATCGCAGGAGTGACGAGAGACGCGCCGCTTCTTCACTTCAGCAGATCGAGCTCGTGTCGCTCTTGCACTCGTTCCTCTCGCTGACTGAGATTCGGCTTGATGATATCATACGTCACATGACCTCGGCTCGGGGAACAGTGAACATCTGTCCAGGTGAGCAGAGGTTTGACGGGATTAAATCCTCAGTTATCCCGGTTTCCTCCCACTGCGGGATGTCCGGTTCTGAGCCCGTTGCCGTGGCGACCTGCGTGTGTTTTGTGGATGTGAATCCCCGAGTGTGACGGATGCAGTTCAGGCTGTCATCAGGTGTCCTGCACGGTGACCTTTGACCCGTGTGGTGTAGATCAGACAGATGTGGGTGGGTGATGGGTAGATTTAGGGGTCAGGATAGAGTGTGTGTGTGAGTAAACAACATCTTACTTCATTTTGACTCATTTGCCCGTAAAACAAGACATAATGTCTTGTGGTATTTTAGTCTTCTTGTAAATGCATCTTGATTTAAGAATATTTCGATATTTGGACTGGAAACAAGACTAAAACCCTGAGTAAGAAAAGCAGTTTTTGCTGTGTATTCTGAAATGATGAGTTGAATGTTCTCCCTTGATTAGCCCTGCGCTGTAACGGTGTGTGTGTGTGTGTGTGTGTGCAGTGGTGTTTAGAGCGGCGTGATGGCGGAGGAGAGATGTCCGCAGCTGGTGGATTATTTCGTGGTGGCGGGTCTGGCGGGCGACTCGTCGCCGCGGGTGGAGGAGGCTCATCAGAGGGGCGTCCGCGCTCTGCAGCCCGTCACGGATCTCGCCGTGATCGCCCGCGGCCTGGGAGAGGACGTCCCCGAGGGCTTCACGTGCATCGAGAAAACACAAGCAGGCCATCCGGCGGAGCTGAGCGCGGGACTGATGAACAACACACACATGTTCCTGTGCTACCGGAGAGGACACGACAAGCCTCCCATCGTAGAGCTCGGGTGAGACGCACTGACGACTCCTCTCATCTTTGAGCAACATGTTTATTCCTTGAAAATATCTTGAATGTAACTCGACACCCTCGCCTCATTTAGTATGTGTGGGTCTATGAATATGCAAATGAGCCCCGCCTCCACTCACTCCCTCACTCAGAGATCCACTGGTTGGCGATCACCCGTTGATCTGATTGGTTACAAGGTGGTTTGTGACGTCAGAAACACCAGCGATTTCAAAGCGTACTGCAGATTTCACTGCAGTTTTAAAGGGACAGTTCACTTTGAAATTAATGTTTGATGTGTTTTATCTTCCCTCAAGGGCATCCAAGATGTCGGTGTCTTTGTTTCCACAGTATTTTCAATTTTGACATTTTTCAGTCAAACCGTTGTTGTCTATTAGTCATACACTGGAGGCTAAGGGGGTCCACCAAAGAGCAGCACAGAGAAGTCCAAATTAAACATGATTTAATGACTCGTAAATGTAAGAACACACTGATGGCCTAAGACACGAAACGAGCGGTTTGTGTGAGAAAACCAACAGTATTTATATCGTTTTACCTCGTGTAATCATAGTGATCTGAATCAGTTGTTCAATGTCCAACTGAACCGAACTGAATCAGTTCAATGTTACGCCGGAAGTGATCGCTTGCGTGTGACGTCACTCAATATTTACACGGAGATTTCGGAAGTTTTACCTTTTACTAAACATATTTAGATATCCCGAAATCGTCTTCCATTGCGGTTTCCCGTATATCTAAATATGTTTAGTGAAAGGAAAAACTTCCCAAATCTCTGTATAAACAAAGAGTGACGTCGATCACTTCCAGACCGAAGCGCCCGTGCCGTCAGTGGCTATGATTACACGAGGTAAAACGATATAAATACTGTTGGTTTTCTCACACAAACCGCTCGTTTCGTGTCTTAGGCCATCAGTGTGTCCTTACATTTACGAGTCATTAAATCATGTTTAATTTGGACTTCTCTGTGCTGCTCTTTGGTGGACCCCCTTAGCCTCCAGTGTATGACTGATAGACAACAACGGTTTGACTGAAAATGTCAACATTGAAAATACTGTGGAAACAAAGTCACCTACATCTTGGATGCCCTTGAGGGAAGATAAAACATATCAAACATTAATTTCAAAGTGAACTATCCCTTTAAGGAGGAAATACTCAGCAATGCTGTCCACTTATCAACTTACACGGTTTAAGCGTATTAAACACACAACACACACACATAAACAACATTAAACGCTGATTTACACCACAGGGGGACTTTAATAAAGGGATACAAGGAGACATTTACAAGCTTCATTTCAATCTGTCTGTCAAATAAACTGAATATCATTGCTGATGTGTTCCTCTGTGGATGAGTTATGGTGTGTGTGTGTGTGTGTGTGCAGTGTTCTGTACGAGGGCAAGGACCCGCTGCGCCAGGGATGGCATCTGATCGAGACGACCCCGTACAGCCGGTCGGCCAGCCTGAGCTCCAGCGGCCCCGGGACTCACAGAACCTTCCTGATGTACCGCCGGGCCCCGGACTCTCAGGCGCTGAACACACTCGGCGTGACCGAGATCTCGCTGCTGATGCCCAGCAAGGGCGAGACGGCACCGCACACGTACTGCCGAGTCGACAAGAACCTCAACACGGGCATGGTGCTGATGATTCACTGATTCACCAACTCATTGATTCATTGACTCACTGATTCATTGATTCACTGACTTGAGAATTCCCTGATTCAATGATTCTCCTCTTTATTTGTTTAACATATTGCCTCCATATACACTACCATTCAAAAGTTTTTAAAGAAATGAATAATTAAACAAGGAATAGCAGTCAGACCAAAAATTATTCATATCATTTTTTTGGTTATTTTTACAAGCGGTGCAGTCATTTCTGTAAGTGAGGAGATCAAATAAAGTAAACCGAGACATATTACACCCAAATATTCTTCATACAGGGACTACAGTAGACATAAATACACACTTGGGACAATAATGACTCCTCCACTTTGAGCTGAAGTGTATTTTCTGTAATCGCTAATGCTCTTTTTACACACACACTGAACAACATGAAGCATTGCTTGGTCACTGGTTGAGCTAAACTGGTATTATCTAATTGTGGAGTTCAGTTTCACAGATATTCAACATAATTCATGTGTGAGAGTCCAACAGAAGGACGAAAGAGTTCTGCTCATATTTACCAATAAACTGATAATGTGAGAAATGTTGAAGGAGTCGGAATATATTTTGGTTTGACTGTGTATCTAAACTTGTAATTGTGAGGTAAAAAGTCATAATCGTGCGAGTGTGTGTTGATAAGCTAAACGAGCGCTGAGTTTGTAATTCAAACATCCGCTACTCTTGAAACACTTCACAAACACCATCAGTTCCTCTTCTGCTTTATTTGTCTTTCTCTTACTCTCGGTTTCTCCTCTGTGGGTTTGATTGTGTGTGTGTGTGTGTGTGTGTGTGCAGTGGGGTCCTGCGCTGTATCTTTGCTACAAGCGTTCTGTGTCTAAAGCAAACGCTCTGGTGTACGAAGCAGGTGAGTCTCTCTCTCACACACACACACACACACACACACACACACACACACACACACACACTATAGACTGCGTAACTGTGTGTGTGTGTGTGCAGGTCTGATCAGCCGGTATCCCGAGGAGGATCTGGAGTCGTTCCCTCTGCCGGACTCGGTGCCGGTGTTCTGTCTCCCGATGGGCGTGTCGGTGGAGAGCTGGCCACTCAACACCAAATACCAGCTGCCCGTCTTCTCCACCTTCGTCCTCACCAGCGCCTCCGGGGACAAGGTGAGTGAGTGAGTGTGTGAGAGCGAGAGTGTGTGTGTGTGTGTGTGCTGATGTGCTGTGTGTTGTGCATCAGGTTTACGGAGCAGCGATCCAGTTCTACGAGACGTTCCCGCGCGAGTCTCTGTCGGAGCGGCAGTGTGTGTGTCTGGGTCTGCTGAGTGTGGTGGACCGGCGGCCCGTCACCAACCGCAGCGTTCAGGTCAAGAAGAGCATCTGCGTCCTCTCGCACTGGCCCTTCTTCAGCGTCTTCCAGAAGTTCCTGACCTTCATCTACAGATACTCCATCTCGGGGCCGCACGTGCTGCCGCTGGAGAAGTGAGCCAGTGATCATAAATACATCCACATTCTATATATATTGCTTTTTGATTTATATCTAGACATTATGAGATCAATATCATGAAATATAAATCATCAAGAGAGACATTTTTAGTCAAAGTTCATCACTTTTTTGTATTGAAGAAGGAAAAGTCACAGGGTCTCATAAAAAAATTAAAATCGTATTTGAATTAAGCTTGTAAAGATCCCTCCTGTCCTAATCACTGAAGCTGTGGTCACTCTAGAAGATCAACGGCACATTAAAGAAGAGCACATGTTTAACCCTCTGGGGTCGTTCGGCCCAAATGGACCCGCAGAATTTGAATAATTTTTTTTTAAATCACAGCTTCCTGGGAATGGTCTGAAATTTGGTGTCTTTGTTGTTATTTGGTATTTGAACACCCAAAGAAATCGGGGACAGGATGTGAATAGTCCAAGAGGTTGTAAAAAAATAGTCACACTTGGGGTGTTCCCGCATGGAAAATGAATGGGAAATTGGCAAAAATGTGAAAATAGTGAGGTTTTTTCTGCGTACAATCTACAAATCAGCCACGATCTTGAAAAAAAGCACACAACAGTGAAGGGGTGAATCTATAAAACATCAAGAGTGCAAAACAGACACATCCACACACACAAACACACCAAAATATTCAGATTATACATGTTTTTTGCATTTTTAAAATGCTCAGTTTGTCCACCAGATGGCATCCATCTCTCTCATTTCAAAAAATGCTTTTATGAGGCCTAGGCTTGACTCTAAAATGAAATATAGCTTTAAAAAAATAAAGAAAAATATTTTTTTTAAAATATTTTTTCTATTATGTTCAATGGGGGGAGATTTTGTCATAATTATTGCATTAATACTAATTATAATTTTTTTGTATTTTTGAAATTTTCTCAAAACACCAAAAAAGAAAAGAAAAAATATTATAAAAAACAAGTAAAAAAAAAAAATCATGATTTTTTTTTTTTTAAATATGAATCCCGCCCTTTGGGTCCATTTGGACCAGAACACCCCGAGTGTGACTCTGAAACGAACAACCCCAGAGGATTATAAAAGGTCATTTTATCTGCATCTCGCTTTTGGTCAAATGTGCATTTTCAAAAAATAAATATGTAGCATTATAGCTGTAAAATGATTAATCACAATTAATCAACATAACTATACAGTACACACACACACACATATTATGTAAACACACTTTTATTTTGGATTAATCGTTGAATTGTAATGTTTGAAAGGTTATGCTGTTCATATTGTTTGATGTTATTCACGGTAATTTGGGATTCCAGAAGTTTTCTGTCGTGTTATTTGAGAATGTTGATCTTGTGTGTGTGTGTGTGTGTGTGTGTGTGTGTCTCTAGGCACATTTCCAGCTTCATGCACAACGTCCCGTTCCCGTCGGCCCAGCGTCCCCGTATCCTGGTGCAGGTGAGGGGTCGAGTCGGGTGCGAGTGTGTGTCTCGTGTGTTTCAGCTGACGAGTGTTATTAAACCCTGACGCTTCCCTCGCAGGCACCGGCGCGCTACCGACCGGCACGCTGGGGCACGTGGGTAACAGGGGGTGATGAAGCTCAATCATCATCCTCCTCAGTGACTGTACCGTAGACATCCGCAGCTGATCGCTCAGGCCCAATCAGTAGAGCTGTGATTGAGATCAGACTGATTGAGGGATTGATTGGTTGATTACGGGCAGGGGTGTGACGAGATCTCATCAGACTAAAATGTCACACACACACACTCACACACACACACACTGAAAATTAGCCTGCATACAATTCTCAAAATATCAAACCAACTTCTTGGTTCGGTTCGCTTCCACAAGGCAATCTTTCAAAGCGTAGCAAAATGTGTTCACGCAAGTCACATGCAAGTACAACTGTCCTCTTATTGGTCAGCGTTTCCTCTGCGTCATCCATCAAGATGATTGACAAGTTCATAACCAAACGCTATACGAATTGTTGCCGTCGTTTCCAGTCATGAATGTTGTCATTGTGGATTTCTATGAATTATTGTGCAAAAGTCTTGTGTCGTTCTCGTGAGAAGTGTCTCGTCACACCCCTAATTATGGTTAATCGGGTGCTGGGTGCGAAATCAAAGCATGAGGTGGAAGCGGAAATCAGTGTGAAATGAACTCAGAAGTGTGTGTGTGTGTGTGTGTAAATGTGTGCCGTGTGTCCTCAGCTGTCTCCGTATGATAACCTCCTGCTCTGTCAGCCGGTTTCATCTCCGCTGCCGCTCAGGTCAGTCACACACACACACACACTCTCCCTGCATGAGTCTGATTGGCTGTTGCGTCTCGGCTCTGTGCTCTGATTGGCTGCTGTGTTTCCCGCTCTCAGTGGGGCCAGTTTCGTGAAGCTGCTGCAGAATCTGGGCCCTGAGAACGCCTGTACCCTTCTGCTGGCCGTCCTGACCGAACACAAGCTGCTCCTGCACTCGCTGAGACCCGATGTCCTGACCTCCGTCAGCGAGGCGCTGGTGTCGGTGAGTGTGTGTGTGTGTGTGTGACGTCCGTCAGTGAGGCGCTGGTGTCGGTGAGTGTGTGTGTGTGTGTGAGACGTCCGTCAGCGAGGCGCTGGTGTCGGTGAGTGTGTGTGTGTGTGTGTGTGTGTGTGTGTGAGAGTCAATTGCTAGAAAAAACGTCTGGATTGTAAGATTAAAATTCGCAATTGCCTTTACTATTGTGTGTCAGAAAGAAACATTCTTCCATAGACTCGTCTTGTGTGTGTGTGTGTGTGTGTGTGTGTGTCAGGTGTCGTTCCCCCTGCGCTGGTTCTGCCCGTATATCCCGCTGTGCCCGCTGAGGATGGCGGATGTGCTCTGTGCCCCCATGCCCTTCATCGTGGGCGTCCACTCCAGCTACTTCGACCTCTACGACCCCCCGTCTGACGTGGTGTGTGTGGACCTCGACACCAACACCATCTTCCAGTGAGTCTCCGTACACACACGGATCATGCGGAGCTGCAGCGTTATGATGCCTTCATACAGAATCAAGACATAGAATCAATATAGAATTAATATAGAATTACATCAATGCATTCATTTAGAGTCAAGACAGAATTAATATAGTGCATTCATATAGAATCAAGATATACAATCAATATAGAATTAATATAATGCATTAATATAGAATGAAGACACAATCAATATAGAATTAATTTAATGCATTAATATAGAATGAAGACACAATCAATAGAATTTAATGCATTAATATAGAATTAAGAAAAACAATCAATATAGAATTAATATAATGCATTTATATAGAATGAAGACACAATCAATATAGAATTAATTTAATGCATTAATATAGAATGAAGACACAATCAATAGAATTAATTTAATGCATTCATATAGAATGAAGACACAATTGATATATAATTAATATAATGCATTAATATAGAATTAAGACATACAATCAATATAGAATTAATATAATGCATTAATATAGAATTAAGACAGAATTAATATAGAATTAATTTAATGCATTAATATAGAATTAAGAAATACAATCAATATAGAATTAATATAATGCATTTATATAGAATGAAGATACAATCAATATAGAATTAATTTAATGCATTAATATAGAATGAAGACACAATCAATAGAATTTAATGCATTAATATAGAATTAAGAAAATCAATCAATATAGAATTAATATAATGCATTTATATAGAATGAAGACACAATCAATATAGAATTAATTTAATGCATTAATATAGAATGAAGACACAATCAATAGAATTAATTTAATGCATTAATATAGAATGAAGACACAATTGATATAGAATTAATTTAATGCATTAATATAGAATTAAGACATACAATCAATATAGAGTTAATATAATGCATTAATATAGAATTAAGACAGAATTAATATAATGTATTAATATAGAATGAAGACCCAATTAATGCATTAATATAGAATTAAGACATACAATCAATATAGAATTAATATAATGCATTAATATAGAATGAAGACTCAATATAGAATTAATTTAATGCATTAATATAGAATTAAGAAATACAATCAAGATAGAATTAATTTAATGCATTAATTTAGGATCAGGTTGAGATGGACTAATATACACCACTGTTCAAACATGTCATCAAAGATGCATTAAACTGATCAGAAATGACAGTAAACACAGTTATCATGTTACAAAAGATTATATTTCATGTTCTTTTGAATTTTCTATTCATCAAAGAATCCTGAGAAAGAAAACGCACAACTGTGTTCAACACTGATAATAATCATAAGTGTTTCTTGATCATCAGATCCTCATATTAGAGTGATTTCTGAAGGGTCATGTGACTCTGAAAATCACAGGAGTAAATTACACTTTACTGTATATTCACATAGAAAACTGATGATTTACATCATAATAATATTCCAGTGTTTTACAGTATTCCTGATCTTATAAACGCCGCCGAAGAGGCGAGTTAGTGTCTGTAAGAGTGATGTGCTGAACTGTTCCTCCAGGTCTGAGGATAAGAAGCCTCTGTCCTGGCGCTCTTTGCCCAGGAAACATGGGAAAATCCTCCTGAACTCTCTGACCAACCTGAACAAAACTCTGGAGAAGAGTGAGTGAGCGCCTGACACCCGCAGATGATGTCATTTCCTGTAACAATACATCGTGTCACAATATATCGCGATACAAAAATGCAACATGGATAGTGACAATCTGTATTGTGTATAGTTCACCCACAACATTAAACTACTATATCATGTTGAATATAGTGTTTAATAATGCAGTGGGTCCTGATAACGCCACTTGTCTGATCTTATCAATAAAAAGTGGTCTACATTATTTTAAAAATATCTAGTCAGTGCAAGAATATTCATCTAAAATACTTCAGTGTTTTCAGCTTCAGAATCATGAATGTGTGTGTGTGTGTCCCTCAGTCTACACGCCGGGGCAGGAGGAGGCCACGCTGGAGTTCCTGCTCACGGATTACGATCTGATCTACGGGCGTCAGAAGCAGCTGGAGCTGGAGATCCAGGAGGCGTTCCTGCGCTTCATGAGCTCCTTACTGAGAGGCTACCGCTCCTTCCTGCTGCCCATCACACAGGCGCCGTCAGACCGCACCACAGACTGCAGCTCCCTCTTCAACCTGCAGGGTGCGCTATACCCTCTCATGAACATCACTCACGGTCTGAGGGACAGTTCACCCCAAGATGAACTTTAGATGCTTTTAACATGATAAAGCACGTAATCAGTACCTGATATTATCATTGTCATCAAAGTGCAATCATTCTGATGAATATAAAAAGCAATTTTGGTAACACTTTACTTAAAGCATTTATATAAAAGGCATTATAAAAGTATTCGAATGCTTTAATCATGCCTTGTAATGCACCTCACCTTTGGAAAGTAAAACACGGCAAGCAACCAGTTTCAGGCAGAAAGAATCTGCAAAAATAATGCATTTTAGCTGTATGTCGATTTTTAATGCATCATACATAAAGGCTTTGAATAAAGATAAACATGACGCTAGCACTGGTGACGAGATGATGGTGTTCGCGCAGGTTTCCTGAAGTCTCGCGATCGCACGCAGCAGAAGTTCTACGCTCAGCTCACGAGGACGCAGATGTTCACGCAGTTCATCGAGGAGTGTTCGTTCGTCAGCGACCGCCACGTCAGCCTGGAGTTCTTCGACGAGTGTGTGCAGAAGGTCAGACGCTCACCTGCGCATGTGACCCCGGCGGCCAATCAGATCCGGGCTTGCGTTTATTTTAATATCCAGCAATATTATTGATCTCCTGCACTGACAGCATTATACGAGAACTGAACTGAGCTGGACGATGACATCACGCTCTTCTCCAGAGCGGCTGTATATATAAATGAACTAAATTAATAAATAAATAAATTACTAAATTAATAATGGTCCTGTTATCTCTGTAAAGCTGCTCTGACACACTGAATAAAGCTGACTTGAGTCTCATCTGTGTGTTGATCAGGTTGATGTGGAGAAACCGGAGGACGTGTGTTTGATGGATCGGGACGAGTGTCTCAGCGGGGAACACACAGTCTTTATAATGCCTCCCGAGGAGCCGCAGGAGCCTGACGGATCCGAGTGTCCCGCTCGCTACAGGTGCGCTGATATCACATGACCCGCTCGCTACAGGTGCGCTGATATCACATGACCCGCTCGCTACAGGTGCGCTGATATCACATGACCCGCTCGCTACAGGTGCGCTGATATCACATGACCCGCTCGCTACAGGTGCGCTGATATCACATGACCCGCTCGCTACAGGTGCGCTGATATCACATGACCCGCTCGCTACAGGTGCGCTGATATCACATGACCCGCTCGCTACAGGTGCGCTGATATCACATGACTCGCTCGCTACAGGTGCGCTGATATCACATGACCGCTCGCTACAGGTGCGCTGATATCACATGACCCGCTCGCTACAGGTGCGCTGATATCACATGACCCGCTCGCTACAGGTGCGCTGATATCACATGACCCGCTCGCTACAGGTGCGCTGATATCACATGACCCGCTCGCTACAGGTGCGCTGATATCACATGACCCGCTCGCTACAGGTGCGCTGATATCACATGACCCGCTCGCTACAGGTGCGCTGATATCACATGACCCGCTCGCTACAGGTGCGCTGATATCACATGACCCGCTCGCTACAGGTGCGCTGATATCACATGACCCGCTCGCTACTGGTGCGCTGATATCACATGACCCGCTCGCTACAGGTGCGCTGATATCACATGACCCGCTCGCTACAGGTGCGCTGATATCACATGACCCGCTCGCTACAGGTGCGCTGATATCACATGACCCGCTCGCTACAGGTGCACTGATATCACATGACCCGCTCACTACAGGTGCGCTGATATCACATGACCCGCTCGCTACAGGTGCGCTGATATCACATGACCCGCTCACTACAGGTGCGCTGATATCACATGACCCGCTCGCTACAGGTGCGCTGATATCACATGACCCGCTCGCTACAGGTGCGCTGATATCACATGACCGCTCGCTACAGGTGCGCTGATATCACATGACCCGCTCGCTACAGGTGCACTGATATCACATGACCCGCTCGCTACAGGTGCGCTGATATCACATGACCCGCTCGCTACAGGTGCGCTGATATCACATGACCCGCTCGCTACAGGTGCGCTGATATCACATGACCCGCTCGCTACAGGTGCGCTGATATCACATGACCCGCTCGCTACAGGTGCGCTGATATCACATGACCCGCTCGCTACAGGTGCGCTGATATCACATGACCCGCTCGCTACAGGTGCGCTGATATCACATGACCGCTCGCTACAGGTGCGCTGATATCACATGACCCGCTCGCTACAGGTGCGCTGATATCACATGACCCGCTCGCTACAGGTGCGCTGATATCACATGACCCGCTCGCTACAGGTGCGCTGATATCACATGACCCGCTCACTACAGGTGCGCTGATATCACATGACCCGCTCGCTACAGGTGCGCTGATATCACATGACCCGCTCACTACAGGTGCGCTGATATCACATGACCCGCTCGCTACAGGTGCGCTGATATCACATGACCCGCTCGCTACAGGTGCGCTGATATCACATGACCCGCTCGCTACAGGTGCGCTGATATCACATGACCCGCTCGCTACAGGTGCGCTGATATCACATGACCGCTCGCTACAGGTGCGCTGATATCACATGACCCGCTCGCTACAGGTGCGCTGATATCACATGACCCGCTCGCTACAGGTGCGCTGATATCACATGACCCGCTCGCTACAGGTGCGCTGATATCACATGACCCGCTCGCTACAGGTGCGCTGATATCACATGACCCGCTCGCTACAGGTGCGCTGATATCACATGACCCGCTCGCTACAGGTGCGCTGATATCACATGACCCGCTCGCTACTGGTGCGCTGATATCACATGACCCGCTCGCTACAGGTGCGCTGATATCACATGACCCGCTCGCTACAGGTGCGCTGATATCACATGACCCGCTCGCTACAGGTGCGCTGATATCACATGACCCGCTCGCTACAGGTGCGCTGATATCACATGACCCGCTCGCTACAGGTGCGCTGATATCACATGACCCGCTCGCTACAGGTGCGCTGATATCACATGACCCGCTCGCTACAGGTGCGCTGATATCACATGACCCGCTCGCTACAGGTGCGCTGATATCACATGACCCGCTCGCTACAGGTGCGCTGATATCACATGACCCGCTCGCTACAGGTGCGCTGATATCACATGACCCGCTCGCTACAGGTGCGCTGATATCACATGACCCGCTCGCTACAGGTGCGCTGATATCACATGACCCGCTCGCTACAGGTGCACTGATATCACATGACCCGCTCGCTACAGGTGCGCTGATATCACATGACCCGCTCGCTACAGGTGCGCTGATATCACATGACCGCTCGCTACAGGTGCGCTGATATCACATGACCCGCTCGCTACAGGTGCGCTGATATCACATGACCCGCTCGCTACAGGTGCGCTGATATCACATGACCCGCTCGCTACAGGTGCGCTGATATCACATGACCCGCTCGCTACAGGTGCGCTGATATCACATGACCCGCTCGCTACAGGTGCGCTGATATCACATGACCCGCTCGCTACAGGTGCGCTGATATCACATGACCCGCTCGCTACAGGTGCGCTGATATCACATGACCCGCTCGCTACAGGTGCACTGATATCACATGACCCGCTCACTACAGGTGCGCTGATATCACATGACCCGCTCGCTACAGGTGCGCTGATATCACATGACCCGCTCACTACAGGTGCGCTGATATCACATGACCCGCTCGCTACAGGTGCGCTGATATCACATGACCCGCTCGCTACAGGTGCGCTGATATCACATGACCCGCTCGCTACAGGTGCACTGATATCACATGACCCGCTCGCTACAGGTGCGCTGATATCACATGACCCGCTCGCTACAGGTGCACTGATATCACATGACCCGCTCGCTACAGGTGCGCTGATATCACATGACCCGCTCGCTACAGGTGCGCTGATATCACATGACCCGCTCGCTACAGGTGCGCTGATATCACATGACCCGCTCGCTACAGGTGCGCTGATATCACATGACCCGCTCGCTACAGGTGCGCTGATATCACATGACCCGCTCGCTACAGGTGCGCTGATATCACATGACCCGCTCGCTACAGGTGCGCTGATATCACATGACCCGCTCGCTACAGGTGCGCTGATATCACATGACCCGCTCGCTACAGGTGCGCTGATATCACATGACCCGCTCGCTACAGGTGCGCTGATATCACATGACCCGCTCGCTACAGGTGCGCTGATATCACATGACCCGCTCGCTACAGGTGCGCTGATATCACATGACCCGCTCGCTACAGGTGCGCTGATATCACATGACCCGCTCGCTACAGGTGCGCTGATATCACATGACCCGCTCGCTACAGGTGCGCTGATATCACATGACCCGCTCGCTACAGGTGCGCTGATATCACATGACCCGCTCGCTACAGGTGCGCTGATATCACATGACCCGCTCGCTACAGGTGCGCTGATATCACATGACCCGCTCGCTACAGGTGCGCTGATATCACATGACCCACATGACCCGCTCACTACAGGTGCGCTGATATCACATGACCCGCTCACTACAGGTGCGCTGATATCACATGACCCGCTCGCTACAGGTGCGCTGATATCACATGACCCGCTCGCTACAGGTGCACTGATATCACATGACCCGCTCGCTACAGGTGCACTGATATCACATGACCCGCTCGCTACAGGTGCGCTGATATCACATGACCCGCTCACTACAGGTGCGCTGATATCACATGACCCGCTCGCTACAGGTGCGCTGATATCACATGACCCGCTCGCTACAGGTGCGCTGATATCACATGACCCGCTCGCTACAGGTGCGCTGATATCACATGACCCGCTCGCTACAGGTGCGCTGATATCACATGACCCGCTCGCTACAGGTGCGCTGATATCACATGACCCGCTCGCTACAGGTGCGCTGATATCACATGACCCGCTCACTACAGGTGCGCTGATATCACATGACCCGCTCGCTACAGGTGCGCTGATATCACATGACCCGCTCACTACAGGTGCGCTGATATCACATGACCCGCTCGCTACAGGTGCGCTGATATCACATGACCCGCTCGCTACAGGTGCGCTGATATCACATGACCCGCTCGCTACAGGTGCGCTGATATCACATGACCCGCTCGCTACAGGTGCGCTGATATCACATGACCCGCTCGCTACAGGTGCGCTGATATCACATGACCCGCTCGCTACAGGTGCGCTGATATCACATGACCCGCTCGCTACAGGTGCGCTGATATCACATGACCCGCTCGCTACAGGTGCGCTGATATCACATGACCCGCTCGCTACAGGTGCGCTGATATCACATGACCCGCTCGCTACAGGTGCGCTGATATCACATGACCCGCTCGCTACAGGTGCGCTGATATCACATGACCCGCTCGCTACAGGTGCGCTGATATCACATGACCCGCTCGCTACAGGTGCGCTGATATCACATGACCCGCTCGCTACAGGTGCGCTGATATCACATGACCCGCTCGCTACAGGTGCGCTGATATCACATGACCCGCTCGCTACAGGTGCGCTGATATCACATGACCCGCTCGCTACAGGTGCGCTGATATCACATGACCCGCTCGCTACAGGTGCGCTGATATCACATGACCCGCTCGCTACAGGTGCGCTGATATCACATGACCCACATGACCCGCTCGCTACAGGTGCGCTGATATCACATGACCCGCTCACTACAGGTGCGCTGATATCACATGACCCGCTCGCTACAGGTGCGCTGATATCACATGACCCGCTCGCTACAGGTGCACTGATATCACATGACCCGCTCACTACAGGTGCGCTGATATCACATGACCCGCTCGCTACAGGTGCGCTGATATCACATGACCCGCTCGCTACAGGTGCGCTGATATCACATGACCCGCTCGCTACAGGTGCGCTGATATCACATGACCCGCTGACTACTGGCTTTTGGTTAACCAGTATTACCAATATTACTTAAGCAATATTGTATTGGTAATATTAAGCAGTAGTCACACAGATTGAATGATTTCTGAAGGATCATGTGACACTGAAAACTGGATCTCAGGAATAATTACTCTATATTCATTTAGAAAACAGCTGATTTACATTGGAAAAATACTTCACTGTTTTACTGTATTTTTGATACAGTTTATAATAATTTAAATCTAAGAAAATTTGGGGCCAGTTGTTCAAAACATTTAATCTGGATCATAATGATCCGCATTTGGAAATCCCATTTTTTCCTATCCAGGATCAGGTAATCCGTCTTAATTTACACATGTTACACAAGTTACACGGTTACACAAGTCAAGTACAAAATATAAATAAAAGTATATACACTAAATGATACAAACATATTATTTGCTACATTTTCTTCCTAAAATCCACCTTGAAATCCTACCCCCTGTTGGGATCAGGATAATCCTGTTTTTTTGGATCCAAGTTATCCAAATCCCACTGACAAGTTTTGAGCAACACAAACTGAAGGTTTGATCCAGATTAAAACTAGGATTGGATTCCCTGATCTAATCTGATTTCAGATTCCTTCTTTCCCTTTTGAACAACTCCTAAAATAAATTAAATAAAATAATATAGAAAAAAATGATCATAAAAAAAATAATGTTAAAAAACAATCAAATGATGTAATCACAGAAATATAAAGTTAAATTAAAATAAATAATAATAAAAAAATGCTAAATGTAGTAAATCTATTCAAAACAATTTCTCAAGTTTTGAGTTGATGAAAAGCTGATAATAATTAAATCGAAACATTTTAAAATCACATCTTTTTCAAAGGAAAGAAAATCTAATAATTTATTAAATCAGAAATAAAAATTAATAAATAATTAAAAATATAAGAAACATTTATTCATAATATACGAAGTCATAAATGAAATCCAATGGCATGGCTATGACACGTAAATATTTGCCGAATGTTTGTTGATGTACAGCTACGACACGTTCCCGATCCTCCAGCCGGACCTGTTCGACCGGCCCCTGGATCATCTCCGGACCCCTGCTAAAGGAAGTGCCCCGGATAGCCCCGCCCCCCGCCGAACCAAACAGGTGAGGATGAGGTCACGGGGTCAGAGGTCACGGGGTCAGGGTGGCTGACGCTCTCTGCTTGTGTTTGTGTGTGTGTGTGCAGGAGATCAAGCTGGCGCAGAAGAAGGCCCAGAAGTACTCCACGGTTCCGGACATGTGGTCCAAGTGCCTGCTGGGCCACTGCTACGGGCTCTGGTTCATCTGCCTGCCCACCTTCGTGAAGGCGGAGAGCGCTAAGGTGCGCGCGCTACACGCGGCCTACGAGGTGCTCAAGCACATGGAGACCAGGAAGGTGGTGCTGCCAGACGAGGTCAGATCCGCTAATGCGTTATTGAAGTGTGTGTGTGTTCTCTCTGACCTGGACTGCAGTGTGTGTGTGTGTGTGCGCGCTCTCAGGTGTGTTACCGGATCCTGATGCAGTTGTGTGGTCAGTACGGGCAGCCGGTTCTAGCGGTGCGGGTTCTGCTGGAGATGAAGAAGGCTGGAGTCACACCCAACACCATCACTTACGGATACTACAATAAGGTCATCATATTTAACATTATTCAGCTAATACTGGGGTTTGATGGAACACTAATGTTTGATTAAAGCATAAAATATTAAAAATTATAATAACATATTTTTTTCATTTAATTAAATCATAAAAATTTTAAATTAAAATAAATAATATTTTTTATATTTAATTAAATCATAAAAATGTCAAATTAAATATATATATATATTTATATTTAATTAAATCATAAAAATGTCAAAGTTAAAATATATATATATATTTTATATTTAATTAAATCATACAAATTTTAAATTGAAATAAATAATATTTTTTATATTTAATTAAAACATAAAAATGTCAAATTAAAATGTATATATATATTTTATATTTAATTAAATCATACAAATTTTAAATTAAAATAAATAATTTTTTTATATTTAATTAAATCATAAAAATGTCAAATTAAAATATATATATATATTTTTATATTTAATTAATTCATAAAAATGTCAAATTAAGAATAAGTTTGCGAATCCCTGATATAATGCCTCTGTGTCCTCTAATGCATCCCTGATATAATGTGTGTGTGTTATTCTGCCGTATGTAGGCGGTGCTAGAGAGCAAGTGGCCATCCACCAATCAGGGAGGGCGTCTTCGCTGGGCGAAGCTTCGTAACGTGGTATTGGCTGTGGCTCAGTTCAGGCAGCCAATAAAACAGCAGCATCGGAGCGCGTCTCTCGGTTCCCGCGCAGGTCTGAGCCCCTCCCCCTCCACATGATTGACAGCTGCTTTTGAGAGAGCATTTAGGCCACGCCCACCAGGGGGGAAACAATCCAACCGTCTCCAACGACTGTATTTTTATGAAAACGTATTTCTGCGTGTTAGTGTTTTAGATGTTGATTTGTTTTTGGTTACGAGGCGGCGGCTTCACACAACACAGAGTCAATGCAGACGGTGGGATTGCCCCCCCTCCGCCGGTGTGGGCGTGGCTTCAGGTCATGACACGTGTCGCTCTGTCTCTATCACTTTTAGAAGTGCTGTCCAAGCCCCGCCCCTACTCGGCTCTGATTCGCCAGTCCAGCTGGAGCGGGTTGAGTGACAGCTCCAGCCACGAGTCGCTGACGAAGAGCAACAGTCTGAGCAGCGTCCAGGCGTCAGGAGCCAGTGAGTGATGACGATCAGCAGCGTGACCTCTGACCCGTGTCTCTGGCGGCTAGTTTCACTGTTGCTTGTGTTTATCAGAGCTGAAGCTGTTGATGAAAGCAGAAGCGGATCCCGCGGCGGCGTCCCGTAAGCCTCCCTCCGGCCCGGCTCCGGCGCTGGTGCGGCGCAGTGACGTGTGCCTGTCCACCTTCCACAGAGACTGTGCGGAGAACACGGATGAAGACTTCAGGTGTGAGCCGGCCGAGAGGGACAGCAGGTACACACACACACACACACACACACACACGCACGCACACACACATCAGTGTATCTCCACAACAACTACACAAACGTCTCCGCTAACATTCAGAAGCGTGTAACAGTGCAGCTCTCCCTGAGTCTCTCCGGAAGGCGGAGCTAAAGCTGCTGTTACTCCTGATCCTGAAAGGTTCCGCCCTCTTCTGAACGGAGGCGGAGCTACAGCTCATTTGCATTTAAAGGGACACACACAAACGGCATGTTTTTGCTCTCACACAAAAACGGGAAAATTTAACGAGCTGTAATGAATGATCTGATATTTCACACATTCTAGAGACGCCATAGATATCACATGTGGAGAACAGCGGCGTACTGTGTGTGAGCTGTAAGTGTGTGTGTGTGTGTGTGTTTGCAGGTCAGCAGAAGTGAGGGAGACTCTGAACCGGAAGCCGGTGGACGAGAACTATAACCACGTGTCGTGTTCTCCCCAGCGCGGGCTAGCGGTGCGACTGCAGCAGCTTCTGACGCCCTCCAGGAGCCGCTCGGTGCGGCGGGCCGCGAGTGTGGACGAGCGGCGGCCCCGAGGAGACGGGAGCTCACACACACACACCGCGAGTGTGGACGAGCGACGGCCCGCGGGAAGCGGAGGCTCAAACCGCAAACACTCACGCAAGATCCAGATCCCAGAGAGCCTGTTAAAGGCCAAAGAGAAGCTGTATAACGCCACGTCTGAGGTGACCACACACACACACACACACACACACACACACACACACACAGAGACTCTTACACACACTAATTTGCAAGTAACACATTCTACTGTGTGTGTGTGTGTGTGTGTGTGTGTGTGTGTGTGTGTGTGTGTGTGTAGAGCTCGCTGTCTGTCGGGAGTGACATCGACATGATTGACATCCAAACGCTGGCGGTTCCTCTCAGGAAGTCGTGGGATTCTGCACAGGAAGGGGCGGGGATTGAGGTGTGTGAAGCGACACTAACACAGGCTGATGACGTGATGGAATATGACCATAATGTGTGTGTGTGTGTGTGTGTGTGTGTGTGCAGGTGCTGATGTCGAGCTGCTCGCTGTGCCGCTGCTGTAACTCTCTGGTGTACGATGAGGAGATCATGGCCGGCTGGACGTCTGACGACTCCAATCTCAACACCTCGTGCCCGTTCTGCTCCGCGCCGTTCGTCCCGCTGCTGAACGCTCAGATCTGTGACCCGGGGCCCGTCTGCAGGTCTCTCACACACACACTTGCCACATCAGTAAATAATTAGACACGAAATATTGATCTGAGTGGAAATATTTGATTGGTTGGTTAAACGCAAAGCTTCTCGGAGAGATCAGTCGCATCATCCCAGAGACACACACTGATGACAGCACTTCAACATATTCATAATCACGGAGATCAGACATATTCACTTCAGATTAAACTGTTTTAAAATCATGTTTGTATCCCATAATTCAACAGTGAACAAAACAATAGTCGCAAAATGGCCGCTGCTGCGAATCCGCGATGCTGGACGGCGTAATTAAATAACTATACAAACACGCTGATGACCTCAGTGACCCGGATGAACCTGAGTTTCTGTTATGTGGGAATAACTTACGGCGTGTGTGTGTGTGTGTGTGTGTGTGTAGTGCGGAGCGCAGTCACCTGAGCGCGGAGGACGAGCTGCAGAACCTCATGAGGCCCCCTGCTGGCCAGAGCGACACACACCTGTGCAACGGCCTCCGAGACACAGACTCCGCCTCCGAGACCAGCAGCCAATCAGAGGGCAGCAGCAGCCAGGGGGGCGGGGCCCCGCAGGTGACGGTGGCGTACCTGAGCCCGCTCGTCCTGCGCAAGGAGATGGAGAGTCTGCTGGAGAACGAGGGCGAGGCTGTTCTCTCTCAGGTCCAGTTCCTGGACAGCCACTCCATCCTCTTCTGGAACCTGGTGTGGTACTTCATGAGGCTCGGCCTTCCCAGCAACCTGACCCAGCTGATCACGCGACACACACAGGTCTCTCACACACACTTTCATTCTGTCGGTGTATCGAAAGATATCTAATGCCTTAAATGTGATGTTAAAGTGATGTGTGTGTGTGTGTCTCAGGGGTCAGAGGGCGTGTCGGTGCGGGTCAGGCTGATGTGGGACACTTTGACCCCTGACATGGAGCAATGGCCGCCGCTCTACATGCTCTGGAGGATCCACAGTAAGAGCTTTAGTCTGTTTATCATCTGAGGAGTGTGTGTGTGTGTGTGGGTCACGTGATCTCCCCCTCCTCTCCTCTAGGTGGCGCCCCGATGCGCAGCTACAACTGGCGGCATCACAACCATCCCTTCAGCCTCAACTTCCTGGAGGAAGTCCTTCGGTGGGTCGGCATGAACGAGGTGCACAAGGCCATCACACTCTTCCTGGAGACGGTTGCTAAGCAACCCGGCCCGCCCCGGTTACAGAGGTGAGATGAGGAGACGGTCACGCCCTGTGTCCACCAAAGCGGCTGTCGTCGTCTTATTATTAATGAGAGTGCCTCGATTTTTTTTTTCAAACAATTTTTCAGTACGTTTAATTCAGTGCTCATCATTAGGGCTGTCAATCTTCCTCTATAATACTATTCGAATTCCATTCCTTATTTTATGTAATATTCGAATATTAAATGCTCAAATTTATCCTATTATTAATATTTACGACATTACACATTCTTATGGATCGTCAATGCCACTATAGCCTGTGGTTGTTGTTACACGTTCGGCCCACTAGAGGGACATCTAACAGAACTAAATAAACATTTAGGGCTGTTTACACCTGGCCGCTTCAGATCGGATCGCTCTGATTTATCAAAACCATTCCATTACACCTGCTCACATAAATGTGTTTTTGCAAAACCGATATAAATCCGATCTTCAATTCCCGCGCAATATACGGATGTAATGAAGTGCACGTCACCGAAAGCAACAGATATGAGCTGCATTTTATTGATCATCGGCTAATTTCAATATCAGCAAAGACGGCAATAAGAGAGATCGGCAGCAGAACTGGTAAGATCAGTTCATTCCTTTACTTTTAATGAAGATGGTCGTGTTAAGCGTCTGCGACTTACTTTCACTTTGATTTGCGCTAGATTGCGGCGCGTTGGCTTGATGAATAGGGGCTCAGATCTGAGGTGATGTGATCGTCATATCTCGTCGGAAGTTCCCGCATATTGATAGCGTCTCCCTGATGGCCGCAAATTAGTTAAAATCTCCCGAAATTCGCGCATAACATACACAGCGCGCGGCGCGTGCATGGCAGAGAGGGAGTGAACGAGAGCTTGTGAATGTGCCCCGCGAAAGCTAGTCGCGCGCTCTCCTATTGTCAATAAGAAAGCGATAAGGGGCCGTTTACACCTGGTCACTTCGGAAGTATATATTTATTTTTAAATATATATAAAAGCAATATTCGAATAGTAACTTTAGCATTTGAATTTTTTAAATATTCGAATTATATTTGAATTTCGGAATTCGTTCCAACAGCCCTACTTATCATTGCCGTCCAATCATAGTGAAGGAGGGGCGGGGCTAATACCACAGCAACCAACCGCCACATTCTGCTTGTACAACGTCAACAGATTTAAGATCCACATGATTTAAAACAAGAGCAAACACTATAATAATCGATCAACATTCATATCGAAACAACAGAAACAAACACGAGCGTTACCCGCTACACTGCTGGACACACGGCTGTAGGGTTAGAGACCTGAGAGAGGCTCCGTGCTGACGTGTGTGTGTGTGTGTGTGTGTGTGCAGGAGTCTGTACAGAGAGATGCTCTTCCTCACACTGGCTGCCATGGGCAAAGATCACGTCGGTGAGTCACAACATTAAACACACTAAACCACTGATCAAACTGACATCAGTTCTGCTCAATAACTGTGTGTGTGTGTGTGTGTGTGTGCAGCTGCGTTCGATAAGCGCTACAAGGCGGCGTACGTGCGCTTGAGTGGATCTGTGGGCCGAGAGGAGCTGCGGAAGAAGAGAGTTCAGCCGCCCAGTGCTAAAGCGGTGGACTGTAGACGCTGCTTCCTGCTGCCGCTGGAGTGCTGAAACACACACACACATGATCACACACTCACTCACACACACACACACACACGCAGACACACTCCACTCCGTCTCGTCATGTCTTGCTGTCTGCCTTCTCACACACACACACACACACACACTCCAACTGCTTCACTGAAGATGCCCACGTTGCATTATGGGAATGTGCAACTCTTCCTTCAGAAACTGCTTCCGTATCCCATGATGCTGAGCAAACGGACTTCCCTCACACACACACACACACTTCTCGTTTCTGCCACTTGAACATAATTATGACTGTCGAAGTAATGAGGTGAAAGTTTGAGGTGAAGACGTCGGTGTCAGCTGTGAGGAAGGTCAGGGACGACTCCGGCTCGAGGAGAACGACACCAGCGCCGGGTCATCTTCAGTTCTGAATAACAGAGGGCATCATGGGAGTCTGTTTAGACCAGCTTTGAGTTTGTGTTCATGTCAGATGTTTCCCGACCATCTTCATCATCATCATCTGGACAGTTATGTAGTGAACTAGTCATGTGACCACAGTGTCATGTGATCATGCTTTTATCCAGTCGTTTCAAAGGGTTTCATGTGATGATGCGTTTCCTTCAAAAGACCCTCTTGATCAAGATTTTACCAGTGAGACGCTATTAAACACACACACACACACACACACACACACCCGAACTCTGGTCATCTGAGGGGAACTTGTGTCTGAAACCACGGCCCTCAAATGTCATGTGACCCTCACGGCCCTCAAACGCCACAGAGGCTCCATCATCAAAGCCATCGTCGGACGAGAGCGAGTGAATGATGACGCGACAATGATGTCATTGAATCTAAACATCATGACTGAAGTTTTCTTCTTTCTGAAACACTGAGAATGTGAACATCAGTTCCTCATGAGCAACACGTGCAGTGATCTACAGTCACTAACGCATGATTATATAAGATTACAGCTGATCTTATGAAGAAACACTGTTAGTTATTTGATGCATTAACCAGCGTGAATATTAGGAAAACATTAACGTTTATTTCTAAATAGGAGTACATTATTACAATAAACAGAACATAGATCCATTCAGGCCTGTACATCACACAGTAAATTGATTGATAATTTACAGTTGACACATTGTTATTGTCGTGTAGGTCATTCTTTGGTGGTAGATGTGCTGGATTTGATGACCGTTGTGGAATAAATGTTGCACTAGCCTCATTTGGTAATGCACTAAGTAACTATGAGCTGTCAATCAGAAGTCTCCAGCGTTTAATAATCCGGCGTATACACATCTGCGCGGTTCGCTCGTGTTCACTGATGTTCACATGCGGAGATGATGATGGTGTTGATGTTCTCATCTCCTCCTGATAGACTGACGCTTGTGATCCGGGTTCCAGCGACTCGTGTGTGTGTGTGTGTGTGTGTGTGTTTGAGGAAACTGTAGGATTTACGCCACATCAGTTTTACCTTGGTCTGTGAGTAGCGTGACTCCGAGTGAGTGTGACCCCAAATGTGAACGTGAGTGTGTGTGACCCTGAGTGAGTATGACCCTAAATGAGCGTGACCCTGAGTGAGTATGACCCTGTGTATGTGACCCCAAGTGAGTTTGACCCTAATTTGTGTGACCCCGAGTGAGTGTGACCTCAAGTGTGACCCCGAGTGAGTATGACCCTAAATGAGTGTGAACCTGAGTGTGTATGACCCAGAGTGTGTGTGTGTGACCCCAAGTGAGTATGACCCTAAATGAGCATGACCCTGAGTGTGTGTGACCCAGAGTGCGTATGACCCTAAATGAGCGTGACCCTGAGTGTGTATGACCCCGAGTTTGTGTGACCCCAAGTGAGAGTGACCCTGAGTATGTGACCCCAAGTGAGTTTTACCCCTAATTTGTGTGACCCTGAGTGAGTGACCCCGAGTGTGACCCTGAGTGAGTGTGTGACCTGGCTGGAACTGTTTAATGGCGTTACAGGAAATGATGTCGTTTCTGCTCTCGTTCGTTCTCTGCAATAACCAGCGGATTCACAGGACGCTTCTTTATAACCTTTAACCCCAAAAGAGAGATTATAGAGCTATATTTAAGTTTTCATGTGTTTGCTGTGGTAATTTATATTGATGTGACCTTTGTTGTGAATGTTGTTTTGTTTTTTTAAGAAAAGAGTTTTAAAAACCTCCGTTCTCCGAGTGTTTTCTCCAGATCTGCCGTGAGATTGAGCACTTCTACCAGATCAAATATTTCTACCATATTAAAAGATCAATTAGAACCAGAATTTGGGTATTTTTAAAGGAACACTCCCAGTTTTTGGGACTTATTCTCCTCCGAGTTCTTCCAAACATTTATTAATAAATTAGGCCTTTTTAAATCGAAGGGACATACTCAAGCTAAGACTCTTGCAGTTCTTTTTGATGCGGACTTGCAGTTTGATAAGCATATAAATTCAGTGTTTAGAGGTGGCTTCTTCCAATTAAGGAATATAGCGAAATAGAAACCTTTTTTGTCTTTTAATGATTTGGAGGTTGTTATGCATGCTTTTAATACGTCCAGTTTGGACTATTGTAACTCTTTGTACTGCGGTGTTTCACATGATGCTAGGCTTTTAACCGGGACTAATATGCCAGTATAACTCCTGGACTAGCATCTCTTCATTGGTTTCCTGTCAAATTTAGGATTATAAGATGTTATTGTTTTTTTTTAAAACTTAAATGGGCTTAAATGGGATGTCATAGTTACTCTCTCACACTCTCTAGGCCTTTAAGATCTGCACAGCTTCAGTTAACCAATCCAAATACTCCACTAAAGTCAGGCCTTCTGTTGCAGCTCCTTCTTTATGGCACACTTCTATTATATATATATATAAAGACTTGTGCTGATTTTATATATCATGAATTATTAAAAGAAAGAAAAGGTGGAAATCACTAATTTAGTGGGAACCAATAATACAAATAGATCTATTTTAAAAATATAAACCAAACGTTGTTGTTTACCTGATCAGCAGTAGCGCCGCAGCACCTCTGCGTGAGGGGCGTGTCCTTGTCTCCCACTGCTCTCTGATTGGCTGCTGGCACGTGGCCCCGCCCCTGCTGGAGAACACATCTGATGAGACTCGCGCTCGGACACTCAGAGAGGAGAATTGTGTTTCTGGATGAGGAATATTCGCGTTTGCTTTGCTGTGTCAGAGGATGAAACTCCTGCAGGAATGAAGGCGAGGGTCTCAGTCGTGCTCCTGCTCTACACACTCTCAGGTGAGTCGCTTCACTTCCCTCAGTGTGTGTGTGTGTGTGTGTGTGAGCGCCGATGATGCTTTTGTCTTTGTTTCAGAGTTGTTTATTTACGTTCAGGAAATATCTGTGTGATATATCATAACTAATAACCCTGTTCCTTCAGTGCACACACTGCTCATATGTAAATGACTGTCCTGTAATTAGTGGAGTCATTCATTAAAGCCTTAATGAGTTCAATTAGCAGTCATTATCTGAGATCTCTTCACCCTCATTTGCAGACATACTGATGCTTGGATGTTATATTTGTATGATAACTTTATATTGATATTAGTTCTGTAACAAAGTATTGTTTTGATAATGAATCTGTTGATTAGTCAGTGATGCTTCACTGACATTTAAAACTTCAAACATTGTAAAGATTTTAATGAAATTAGCACCAGACTTTTGATAGTGTGTGTGTGTGTGTGTGTGTGTGTGTGTGTGTGTGTGTGTGTGTGATTCAGTCACTGCAGTCCGCTTTGCTCTGATTCTGAGTTTGTTGAAGTTCATGTTCGTGAGACAGACAGACCTGAGCCAGACACTGACCCTGACCTTTGACCTGACCCTCATTACCATATGACTGGGTCTTTAGGGTCGGGGTCAGACTGGGGGGGGGGGGGGGGGGTGATTGAGATCTCATTATAAGGGCCCGTAATCCTGAGGCAGCTGCTGTGCACACACACACACACACACACACACACACGCACACACAGGGTTCACAAGGTTAATCCAAAAGATCTACACCACATGTGCCTGTGGTCAAACTCTCTTCTGTGTTTGTGTCACAAGCATTCTGCTGTAATACACACACACACACACACACACACACACACACGTGAGTGGCGACTGCTTCATTTTCCTAATTAGCACCAGACTCTATTCAGCACTGTGGGAACCAGATCAGTGTCATGAATATGATAATTTCTCTCTCTCTCTTTCTCTCTCTCTCTCTCTCTCTCTCTCTCTCTCTCTCTCTCTCTCTCTCTCTCTCTCTCTCTCTCACACACACACACACATTCTAATATGATGATTTGATGCTCAATTATTGGTTCCATATTAACTTGATTATGTATTAACACACTAATTCTATATGATTATATATCTTCCATTGATCAAAAGTGACTGTAAAGACATTTGTAATGTTATTATGGACACACACACACACACACACACACACGATTCTCTTGATTCTCCTGATAGAAAACAGCTGATTTAAATTGTAATAATATTTCATAATTTCTGCTGTATTTTTGATCAAATAAACACTCTTGGTGAGCAGAAGAGGCTCTTTTAGACAAATGAATAAATCATAATTATTCCAAACGTTTGAGGATTAGTGTATATTTGAGCAGCTCTGCTGACGCTGAACACTTCCCCAGGTGCATCATGGGATGCTTTAAACACAAACATTTATTTTATTAACATAACATTACATTTTCAAAGAATTCGTATCTAGACCCAATTTATAGTGGTGTACTTCAGAGATTCTCCTTCTTTCTTCAGTCGAACAGCTTATATCTCTTCTTGAGATTTTAAGTTAATATTTCAACACTTTATTAACATTCTCTGATGACGGTTAATACTCAAAACACATGCAGATATTAAATGTTGAATTACTTTCAGTATATGAGAAGTATCATGTTTCCCATGCATATTCATATATGTTGATAGTATGATTAAAAACGCTGTGATTGACCGTGGGACTTGTTCATGGTGTGGCCTAGTGAACAGTGTAATATCTGTGAGGCTTTATTGAACATTTGTGTAATTATAGATTCAGCATCATTTCAAGGCATTTGACTCCATCTGCGAAGCTGTAAGTGTTTTCCTGCGGGTCACACACACACACACACACTCTCGTTCTGATGAGCAGATGTGTGTTTCTCAGTCTTCATGCGGCCGTGAACTTCAGAACACAATGAAGAGAGCAGGAGCGGCTGATTCTCATGACCTCTAGGCTCAGAGGTCACTGACTGGAGGCGGAGCCGAGCCTCATGATTGACAGTCTGGGGGCGGAGTCACGTCTCGCGAGTGACAGCCGCAGGGAGGCCGGATCCTCTGGTGTTTACCAGTGAACATGCTCTGATATTGTGAGAGAAAACAGCTGCGGCTTTAGACACTACTGGAGAATCTCGTTTAACTAGAGCCAGATAACAACCAGACCAGACTAAACTAGACCAGACCAAATCAAACCAGACCAGACTAAACTAGACCACACCAAACCAAACTAAATCAGACCAGACCAAATCAAATCAAACCAAACCAAACTAGACCAAACCAGACCAGACAGACCAAAAACTGCATTTGCATGGCTATAACAGGGTCATTTAGAAAATGGGTGTGGGAAAATACACTTGAAAGTCTATAAATCCTAAATGTAAACACAGAATTTTACAAAAATTGGTGGGCATATGTGACAAAACATAGTAAAGAAGCATGCAAAATTTAATTGAGATCAGACCATAGATGTTGCTATAACTATCAAAAAGCTTTGAAAACCCTATATTTGCGATGGTAAATCGCCTGGATTGGCTGTAAATGGTGTTTTCCATTGATGATGTCACTGGTTAAATGCTTGCTAAATTAAACTTGATGTGCTTAAAGGCTTTAATGGCCTGAACCCCGCTAAAGGCTGCTTGCAGCTTTAATTGTAATGATTATCATTATAGCTGCCATTATTGTTTGTTATCACTATAGTTATCGTTAGTTATTATTATTATTATTCGTTATTGTTATGGTTATTATAAGTTTTTGTTATTATTATTATTATACCAGCCATTATAGGCACTTATCACTATAGTTAGCCATTATTATATAGTTAACCGTTATAGATACCAATTATTGTTACAGTTATCACTATGGTCATCATTCGTTATTTTTATGGTTATTATAAGTTCTGGTTATAGTTGCGATTATAGTTATCGTTAGATATTGTTGTGTTAATTTCTAAGTTATGGTTATAGTTAACTTTAATGTTATAGTAGTTATCGATAAAGTTTTCATTAGTAATTTTTTTGGTTATAGTTAACTTTAATATTATTGTAGCGTTAAAGTTTTCATTAGCTATAATTATGGTTATAGTTAACTTTAATGTTATAGTAGTTGTCGCTAAAGTTTTGGTTATTTATTGGTATCGTTATAGTTAACTTTAATGTTATAGTAGTTATCGTTAAAGTTTTGGTTATTTATTGTTATGGTTATAGTTAACTTTAATGTTATAGTAGTTATCGCTAAAGTTTTCGTTAGTTATTGTTATGGTTATAGTTAACTTTAATGTTATAGTAGTTATCGCTAAAGTTTTGGTTATTTATTGTTATGGTTATAGTTAACTGTAATGTTATAGTAGTTATCGCTAAAGTTTTCGTTAGTTATTGTTATGGTTATAGTTAACTTTAATGTTATAGTAGTTATCGCTAAAGTTTTGGTTATTTATTGTTATGGTTATAGTTAACTTTAATGTTATAGTAGTGATCGCTAAAGTTTTGGTTATTTATTATTATGGTTATAGTTAACTTTAATGTTATAGTAGTTATGGCTAAAGTTTTCGTTAGTTATTGTTATGGTTATAGTTAACTTTAATGTTATAGTAGTTATGGCTAAAGTTTTGGTTATTTATTATTATGGTTATAGTTAAGTTAACTTTAATGTTATAGTAGTTATCGCTAAAGTTTTGGTTATTTATTATTATGGTTATAGTTAACTTTAATGTTATAGTAGTTATCGCTAAAGTTTTCGTTAGTTATTGTTATGGTTATAGTTAACTTTAATGTTATAGTAGTTATCGCTAAAGTTTTGGTTATTTATTGTTATGGTTATAGTTAACTTTAATGTTATAGTAGTGATCGCTAAAGTTTTCATTAGCTATAATTATGGTTATAGTTAACTTTAATGTTATAGTAGTTATCGCTAAAGTTTTGGTTATTTATTGTTATGGTTATAGTTAACTTTAATGTTATAGTAGTTATCGCTAAAGTTTTGGTTATTTATTGTTATGGTTATAGTTAACTTTAATGTTATAGTAGTTATCGCTAAAGTTTTGGTTATTTATTATTATGGTTATAGTTAACTTTAATGTTATAGTAGTTATCGCTAAAGTTTTCGTTAGTTATTGTTATGGTTATAGTTAACTTTAATGTTATATTAGTTATCGCTAAAGTTTTCATTAGTTATTGTGATGGTTATAGCTGTCATTATAGTTGTCATTAAGGATCCTCGTGAATCCGCACTTTGACTCCTGTGTGTGTGAGTTTGGTTTGTTTGCGTCGGGATTCCTGTCAGAGAATCTGAGGTCATGTGACCAGGTCTGAGGTCATGTGACCAGGTCAGACCCTGATGCCACGAGTCTGGTTTTTCCACGCGAGCGCGTTCAAGTTCAAGTGTGACTGCGGTGTTTTGTGTGTGTGGCAGCTGCGAGGGGGGCGGTGTGTGTGTGAGTGATGGTGTGGCATGGGAAAGTCACCCTCACACACACTGTGAAAGACACTCGCAGCGCCACGGGGCGGAGGAGGGGCAGATGCTCTTCAGACGGGGCAGAATGATGGGGCAGGGGCAGTTGTGGCAGAGTGGGGTGGGGGGGGGGAGCCGCATTGTGTGGCTGTTTTGGGGTTTTGTGTGTGTTTGTGTGAGTGCTTCTGAAAGAGCCATCAATCAGACGCCCGAAAGTCAAGTTTAAGTTCAGTGGAGATGAATCACTTTGATTAAAGACGCTGTAAATCCAGGCAGAACCACCAGCCCTCTGAGAAACCCACGTGTCTATCTACTGATGTGTGTGTGTGTGTGTGTGATGCTGATCTAAAGAGCTGAATATCACAGAGCGGACAGGCATCTTTATACGCTTTTTCTCATTGTATTTGGTTTGTGGTTGTATTTGTGTTTTTTATGCTTAAACCAAGAACTAATACTATAAAAATTTAAATATTGTGCGAAAGTTCATTTATTTCAGTAATTCAACTTAAAAGGTGAAACTAATAATTATATAGACTCATTACATGCAAAGAGATATTTCAAGCCTTTATTTATTATAATTTTGATGATTGTGTCTTGCATCATACATATGCAAACCTTTCCACAATATTCTAATTAATATTAGAATCAATATTCTAATTTTCACAATAAACTGTGAAAATTTGGGCTTTACACTGCCAATGGTGTATAGTTATATCTGCTTCAATCCACTTGCTTTCCCGTGAATTAGGTTTATTTCTCTGACATCCACTGATTCCTACTTTATTTTGATCAGTTTCTTATTAAACCACACTTTTAATCTGCATTAAATGTCTTGATTTAAGAATGTTTAGATATTTGTATTAGAAAACAAGACAATAAAATAGCACTTTTTTAGGTAATATATTAAAAATAGTTTTAAAAATAGAATAGTAGAATTTAAAAATAGTTATTTCACGTCTCTGTGGAATGCTTGATTCTGATTGGTCAATCGCGCTATAAATAATTCCCAGATAGCGCTACACACTCGCTAGGAACGGGTTTTCCTCGTGGAAGTTTTGCATTTGGTGAGCTGATAAAATATTAAAACTCAGTCGAATCATCAATATTTTGTGTAGTTATTTAATTATGTCGTCCAGCATCGCGCAGTCGCTCTCTCTCGTTTCACACACACGCAGCGGCGGCCATTTTGTTCACGGTTGGATAATGAGATACAAACATGATTTTAAAACTGTTTAATCTGAAATCAATATCTCTGATCTCCATAATTATTAATATGTTGAAATGCGGTGTCAAGAGAACTGTGTGTCAAGTGATCAGCTGGGTCAGGTCACTAGGAGTGTGTGTGTGTGTGTGTAATGAGCTCATGAGCTTCTGTTTATCTGACGTTATATGATTACGAGTAACAGTTTTCCTCCATCAGGGTTCCATCATCATCATCATCCTCATCTTCATCATCACGAACCGTTCGTAAGCATCATTTCCTCTCAGATTAATCAGGTGGATGTCCGTTTATTGCCCGTCATCATCATGGGCTCTGCTCTTGTCCTGCAGGTTTGGGCGGAGCTTCAGAGTTGGCGTTCATCAAAGAACCCAGTGATGTCATCGCCGTGAGGGACCGCCCCCTCATGCTGGACTGTCAGGTGGAGGGGGAGGGGCCTATCACGGTCACATGGCGCCGGAACGGCGTTCCCGTGTCTCCCGGAGCGCGAGCAGCGGTTCTGGATAATGGGACGCTCCTGATCCGAAACTTCCAGAAGCGGCGAGACGGCGGCGAGAGCGACGCGGGCGAGTACGAGTGCGCGGCGCAGAACCGATACGGGCTCCTCATCAGCCGCAAGGCACACGTCCAGCTGGCCTGTGAGCGACGCACACACACCCCACGCCATCGTTACAGTTCGTATCACTGTGATCACGAGCTGAGATTCAAATATGATAATGAGCGTTTGCTTTCTGTCCAATCAGAGTAGAGCAGTTCTCATAGAGGCGGAGCTTATCTTTGATGGAAGCGTGTCAGACGTCATGTGACGGATATCTGTTTTCTCTCTCAGCGCTGCCGAAGTTCCACACACACCCCGAGTCCGTGATCGTGGACGAGGGCGGCGTCGCCCGGTTTCACTGCGCGGTCAGCGGCGTCCCGGAGGCCAACATCACCTGG